TACTTGTGAGGGTGGCGCATGTCTCTGTAAATCTTGGTGAATCGTTAGTATGCCGCACTTGCTCACGTAGACAAACGAATACTCACATTGGGAAAGACACTGTGGCCACCCCATGGGCTCATCAACAGGCCAAAACTCAGGGGGAGTGTACCCCAGTTCGCAGGGAACAGGTAGGTCGTGGCCGGCTCGATGAGAGAGCCCGGAGTCGTGGGCTTGATTAGTCCATCAACCACCAAAATCAAGACGACTGGCCTCATGCATTAGCAATCAGAGCTTGGCGTGGAGAAAGAAAGGTAACTTACTGCTGAAACAACACACAATGCCAATAACGCTGGTAAAACTAAGAAGGCGCAGCGGGAGGAAGTTGAGGGGGATCATGATAATCGAACACAAGAGTTTCCACATGTTGACGCTCAGGAAGCCCGGGAACAAGAGCGTCAAAGAATCGGCAAACAGGACGATCAAGGCGACGCAGGCAGCCAGCAGTTCGAGGGTGAAGAGAATACTGGTGGCGATACGCGCGTTACGACCGTAAGAGATGTAGGCCAGGTCGGAGAATGTAATCAAGCTGGCGTCGAGATCCATGCACTTTGCCAGAAGCTTGGCCGTGTATGCTGTCACAGCCGCAGAGCCTGCCAAGACGATCATGCCGCAAATCCAACCGGCGTACTTGATGCCCATAGGTAAACTCAACAGACCGACACCGATTAGGACGCTGCGCCGCAGGTTAGAATTGTCATGCCTTTCACTGCGCGCCAAAACAGGGGCACCACTCACTTGATCGAGTTGAAGATGGTCTGAGGTAGCGTGGACTGTCCCTCCACAGTCAGGATAATCTTTCCGTCTTGTTCGACCTCCTTCACGAGAATGGGCATGTTCTCTCCATCAGGCACATTGCCCCCTGCCTCTTGCTGTTGGCGCCAGAGCTCACCGGCCTGGGCCATTGATGGCTCATCGACATCTGCAATCGTTCCATACGTCCTGTACGAGCTGAAACTTCCGACCAGCGGCGGGGTCGCCAGGTGAGGCGGGACCGCGAAGATGGACTGTGACGGTCGGCGGCCACTCCCAAAGCTGGAACCACGGAAGGCTCCAGACAGCTCCGCCTCGACTGCCTTGCGCTCGCGGTCGCGGAAATCGGTCTGCACAGCGCTGTCGTCTGCGCCAGAAGCGGAAGAACCATTCTGATACGATGCGCTCGGTGCCGTCTCGGGGGTGGCCTCCAGGTGCTGCCTCAGCAGGGAGGTCCTCGGGTGGGAACCGGACTCGACATGGCTGCGAGAGTAGTCGAGGCCATCGGTGGACGACGAGGCAATTGGGACCTGGTCAGGCGCGAAAACAAAGGACGGCCGTTGGGGAATGACCTCGGCAAAGCCTGCGGCACGCGCCCAACTGCGGGTGAAGGAGCGGATACTGTTAACGCCGCCGATATCTGTGATGGCGGCAAGGTGCCGCGTTACTGAAGATCTGTAGGAGGGGTTGGTTAGCGGGGTGAACTGAGTGTGTCGTGCGCCGCGTTGCAGCAACAGAGACAACGGCAGCAAGCTGACGTCAATAATCTGCTACTCGGCTCGGGTCAGGAATAACAACCTTCTGCGACGAAGTCCGTGAGAACTGCTGCCGTAGTCACCGTCGTCATCTTCTCCCAGGAGCGACTGGTCCTCAGCTACGGCATTGGAGTCGATACTCACGGAGCGCTGGGGGGAGGCGCCCCGTTCGTATTCGTCCCAGGTGGACGGGTTTCTCGAGGGCATGGGGAAAAGCTCGTGGATTCCAGCAACAACAGAGGTTGGTTAAAGTCGTTTCCACGGCGTTCTTTTTCCACAACGACGAATCGAATGAAAGACGGTCGCGACAGGAACAGAGGAAGAGAGAGAGAGAGAGAAAGAAGAGGAGGGAGAGGTAAGAAAGAAAAATCTGTAGTCGACTCTTTGGGCAGGGTAGACGGTCGCGACTGGGCTATTGTTCGCGCGGGCGTTTTGAGCCTTGGAGGTGGTATATAAACCTGGTCGGGACGGAGTAGTAGCACACGGCGTGAGCGCGGCACCTTCCTGAGTACGTACGGGATTTAGTAGTGTAAGGTACCTTAGGTAGTAGCAGGTCGAAAAGACCGTGTATCGATAAAAGGCAAATGTGCCTTATTCCTCTTACGCACCCCAAGCCCAAAGCAAGCAAAGGCTGCAAAGCAAAACCAAGGCACCCCTACTAAGGCCGGCCCCAAGTGGAGTCGTTGCGGGAGATGAGATGGGTTGCTAGTGCAAGTGGGTTGTCGGAAGCGCAGGTTGGGTCTTGTCGCAAGTGTCTGCTGAGGTCCGACTGGGTTTTTTCTATCCTGTCTGGCTCCAGTCTCCACGTCCAAGTGGATAGGAGGGCGGAACGACAGAGATAACAGGCAGTGATTGTTACGTCGTGGCGTTAGGAAGAACTTTGAACTTGGGTTGTTCAAGACAAGAAGACCCAAGAGTCGAATGGATGGGTGTTGACACTCGGTACACTATTTGTGGCCGTATGTGTACTAGGTAGTTTGCCGTGGGTCACGAGTAAGTAAGAAGTTTGGCGGGAGGAAAGCTGGAGAAAAAATTGGAAGGAGGACGAAGGTAAAGTTGGCCTGTTAATGTTGGAAAGCCAAGGAAGGAACCCTCCTTCTCAACTTCTCAATCGAGTACTCAGTAAGGTAAGGTACAAGGTAAGGTACATGAGAAGGACCACCACGATCCTCAAGCCAGAAAAGGTCAATGCTTCTTTTGCCTCTTTCCACCCTCTCTCACCTTTCAAAAGGTTCTGATGAAGAGGTAAACCGTTAACGCCCCCAAGGTGTCCAGGTGCCTTATCCCGGGTAGATCAGTAGTGAGTGTAGCCGGGACTTTGGCATCTTGGAATTGAACATACTGACACAGGTAACTTTCTAATTATTAGGTAAGGTTGGGTCGGATGGTGTCCTGGGGGCGGGCTGGCTATCGCCGGCCATATCTGCAGATATGTCATGACATGCATTAACGGAATCCGAGAAGGCAACCCGAGACTACGACGACGAATAGCAGTCGAGAGATGGCTCGGTGCGGGAGCAGAAAGAGAGGATCGAGAGGGGTTCCTCTGCCGAGAAGCGGAAGTGATTTTGAGGCATCAACTGGCAACTGCCAAATCACCAACAGGGAAACGCAGGGGAGATATGGGCGACAGAGGGGCTCACAGGAGAAAGTAAAGCAAAGTCAGCTGGACGTCACATCCTTTGATTCTCATGACGCCGTCTGCATCGTCAAAAGTTGGTCGGCTTATCGCGCCGGCGTCTCTGGTTGGACAATGGCAGAGAATGGAACGGCGCTCCTGCTGCACGTCGCCTGCAAGTGGCAGGGCCTGTTGCAGGGCCTTTGCAGCGGCCAGAACCTACAAACTTTCAAAGTTGAACCAACCCTGGCTCCGCTCTCTCCACTACCACCTGGGTAGCACAACCCTCGACCCTCCCGGCTTGCTGCGCCGGTCAGCCTGCTTCTCTTCTCTGCGCCTCTCTTTTAACCGTACCGTCCCAAGGTATCACGGTGCTAACTACCTAAGGTACGAGGCAATAGGTGCCAGACGTCTGCAGTACGTAATGTCGTCCTGCAAGTCTTTCGACATCATCTGCCACTGTCTCTGCTTTTCTTTCTTTTTATTCCTTGCCTCCACATGTTTTGCCTACTTACGGGACGATTGTGGAGTCTCATCATCAAACGGCTGACGGGCATTTTCTTAGCTAAGGAGATTGGACAATTCCTATTCCAACTATCACATCCATCATTATAAGGTGACTCTCACTCGATATTCAGCGGCCGCCGGGCTGAAGACCTCGGATATTGATAGATTCCATCCGTCCCTTCAAGATAACCGCCCGAGTCCCCCGCCCAGATCTCTCCGCATCCTATCTCATCTTACCTTACCTTGTTACTCACCGCTATTTGCATACGTTCCCCCCCCCAAAAAGGACCACATGACATGTCATCCAAATGCCTTCCTGAGACAGGTTCATGCATGGAGGTTCAGATGCAAATGATGCCATCACCACCCCGCCAAGTAGCTAGTTTAGTACGGTACTATGTAGTCGACTTCGCAACCTAGACTTTTCCCAAAAGTCAAAAGCAAGAATCCTTGCAACTAATCATCTGCCGCCGAGCCTCTCAATCTTTTACACTACCGCAGTACCCCAGATGCTCGAGCCTCATGTCGCATGCCTTCAGCTTTCCCCGTCATCCGAAAAAACCTCGCAACTTTCGTGTATCTCACGACCAGGCCTGTCCCAGAAAAGCAGCTCAACCACATAGATGGTGTTACACCCCCAGGGCCTCGGACGAATTTGCGATGCACAGACTCTGTTGCCTTTTCTTTGTTCTCTCTCGCTATTCCACGAGATCGCCGTTGCTCGAGACCTTGCCCTACGTTACAGGATAGATGTCTCTAGGGATTAGTACACGCGATAGCGTACGTTGACTGACTCTCATCTGCGCCGGCCGCTGGTCCTGTCCCACGTAGCATGCGCCTCAAGTCTCCTCTGTCTAGACGTGTGCCCCTCTCTGAAGAGGACGAGGAAATGATACAAAGAAGGATAGAGAATGATATGGAGGGCAAATTTGAGGCCTCATGATGATCGGTACATACTGTTTCCTTAGAAGATGTAATTAACCTTCGCCAGGTACGTTACTTGAGACTAACCACGCTCCGATCCGAACCAAATCGATCAACATCCGGTCCGTCGTTGCTTCTTTTTTTTTTTTTTTTTTTTGAAAGTGCACGGTCCCCCTATCATATTTCGTACACCACTTGCACTCTCACCTTACCAACCACAACCAAGAGTACCTGTAGTATCAGACTTTTAGATTCGCGAGCATCACATCTGACGACAGCCTTCCACGCCTCACACTCCAGAAAGTCAATTCGCTTTAGCTACTTCATTTTTCTCAGAGGATCATAACTACTAGCGCGCCAAAGGAAAGGGAAAAAAAACAAACGAAAAAAGCAAATCTCATGACATGAAGACAACCACAACCACATCCGCCGCAACAGCAGCGCAAACAACACCCAATGGAGAAACAACCCCAATCGCAACACTCGTCCCCGTCCTCGCCATCCTCGACAGCTTCAACCACCGCAACAAGAACCAGCACCGCGTAGCCCGCTGGTGGTCCGCCTTTGACCTCCTCCGCCGCGCCGTCCGCCGCCTGCACGACGCCCTCGAAGCCCAGGCCCGTCACCGGCGCGCCCTCAGCTTCAAGTCAAAGTCCTCTTCTTCGTCCTCCTCGAAGAAGTCTGCCGCAGCTGCTGGGGGTAAGCCCACCGGCAGCGCTGAACGTCGTCAGAATACGCTGGACGAAGATATCGCTGCTAGGGTGCGGATGCTGCTCGATTCCACCATCCCCTCGTCCTTCTCGTGAGTCCTTACCTTTCCTTCATTGATATGTACCTATTACCGATATTGACCCGAGGACTACAGAGCCTTTACACAACTAGCAGCAGACAACCAACACGCCGCCCTAGGCCTGGTCCTCCTAGGTCTCCTAGCACGCATCAACTCAGCCGTCACACTCCTAGCTCCTACTCCTGCTCCTGCTCCTCGGGAAAAGGCCACACCAGCAGGCAATGTCACTACTACCTCTTTATCATCTTCAGCAACCAAAAGTGCTGCTGCAGTCGCCGTGGCAGATGAGAGGCATCACCAGCAGCAGCAACAACAATCCGATTCAAAGGGTCTCGGAGTGGCCATCTCTCGGGACCAACTCAAGCTTGCTGCGAAACCTTTAGATCACCACCCATCATCATCACGAAATATCGATGAAACATCACCCGCCATCCCTCAAAAGAAACGAAAGTTGGCGAATGTGCCTCCTCTTGAGACTAAATCTAGCAAGCCAGCAAAGGAGGAAAAGCCAGTAAAGAAGAAGAAAAAGGCAAAAAAGACGGATGACTTTTCCGATTTATTCAGTTCCCTCATGTAGAGACATTCACGTAACAAAGATTCCCCAACAACACCAAACAATACATAATATAGAGACAGGAGTCATGTAAAGCTTCAAATCTTTCATTAGCGACGGCTATTTGCTACGAGATTCCGACGTGTCCCTGCCTGTACGCCCCATACCGGCCTGTGCGTCTCTCTTTGAGAATATTCCAAGACATAGACAGGGACGACCTGTTCCACCGCAAACGAAACCCTCCCTAGTAACAGAGCAACTCAACCTCTTCTCTTCGACACCCGCTGTTTGGTATACATCTCTGGCCACTAAACAAGCCTTCGCCAAGAAACATCAACTTTATCCCACGTACAGGTATCCGGTCCATGGCCGAGCGACATTTCTCTACTGGACGCTTCGGTAAGACCAGATACGCGCCCGCATATCACCAGAGCCGGTGGCGAAGTAGCCGCCTGTTGGGCTAGGAGCAACTGAAATGACCGAGTTCTTGTGGCCCTGAAGCATCAACTGCGTAGCACCAGTGCGGGGGTCCCAGAACTGCACTCCACGGTCCTTGGAACCAGACATGACCCAAGCGGCATCGGGCGTAAGCGCGACAGAGAGAACGAAGTCCTGAGTACATTAGCGAATCTGTTTATGAATTTTGCAGGTGTATAAATCACTTACCCTGTGACCCTCGAAAGTCTTGACGCAACGGCCCCCCTTGGGTCCGGGATTGGGCAAGCCGCGAGGGGTGCTGAGCTCCCACATCTTGATCGTCTTATCCAAACTGCCACTGACGAGGTCTCTGCCATTAGGAGAGAAGGCGACACTGTAGACGCTGTCCTTGTGGCCATCGGGACCTTCAAGACGCTCGAGCAGGTATCCCTGGTGGATGTCCCAAACGCGGACGCTCTTGTCGAGAGAACCAGCGGCGACATACTTGGTGTCGGGAGAAATGGCAACAGTTGTGACACCGTCCTCAATAGTCAAGGTGAGAGTGTTGGTACCCTGCTCGATATCCCAGAGACGGACGGTTCTATCTCCACTGCCAGAGGCAATCGTGCGACCATCGCGGGCAAAGTCGAGAGAGTAGATGTCTTGCTCGTGGCCAGAGAAGGTGTTGCGAATCGTTCTGGACTGAATGTCCCAAACCTGAGAAAGAAGAGTCAGCTGAGCCCATGCCAAAATGACTTTTCGGTCAAAACTTACTCTAATCAACTTGTCCTCAGCACCGGTAGCGAGGTACTTGCCATCGGGACTGAAGCAAACGCTGCGAATGTACAGATCACCAGTGATATCCACAGTGTCATCCTGAAGGACACAGAGCTTCTCGCCAGACTGAACATCGTAAATCTGAGCGGAGCGGTTGCAGCCGGTGGCTACGTACTTGCCGTCGTGGCTGAAGCGCACGCAGCAGACTACACTCTCGTGTGCGAGAGTGTGGACAAGATCGACATCCAACATGCGAGGCACGTGTTGGTTAAAGATGACGAACCAGTCGTGACCCGATTTCTTTGAGTGAGGCGGCAGGCGATCAGGGTCAAGATCGCCAAGGGCGTTTCCCACCGGCGGAGCGTGGGGGCCCCCCATCCGCGCGTGGTCGGGAGTAGGATGGCTGACTTGAGGCGACTGGGTGGCGCCCGGGAAAGGAATGGGAGTGTTGATCTGGGGTGTAGCCGGACCGACAGCTGCAGGTGGTCTTCCAATTCCACGTCTGCCCGGACCCGGCGATGCGGTGGTCTGGGGGGGCTGGGAGCCGAGCCCATTAGATACGGGCCCACCGGGACCCGGGGGGTATTGCTGGAAAGGCTGCTGCGACTGAGGCGGCGGCGGAGGCGGGACAGGCAGACCCGGAGGTCCCTGGGCCATCTGATGCTGCGGGCCCATTTGCTGGTCCTGAGGGGGAGGAGGGGGCGGAGGAGGGGCCAGCTGGCCCTGGCCACCACCGGTCATGATACCGTTGAAGAGACCGGTGCCGGGGGTGATGGAAGGGGGCTGTTGCGACGGGCCCGCGTGAGGAGGAGGACCGCCGATGCTTGGGGGCGCGTTTCCACGAGCTCCCTCAAGCTGGCGGCGGAGCATGGCAATTTCCTCTTCATACCTGTTCAAAAGCTCGCTGTTAGCTTCTTGTGAAGGGACTCGGCTCGCAATCATTGACATCGACATACTTTTGCTTGAGGTTCATCTGCGCTTGCTCCATGGCGTACACCTTTTCTCTAACAAGCTGCATCTCCTGAACTTGAGCCTGGACTGGAGATTTCGTTAGCGTGACTGACGATAGGTGTCAACCGCAACTGTCTTACTCTGGTGTTCATAGCCCTCCGTCTGGCGCATCTGGGTGTCGAACTCGGATCTGATTTGGTCGAGGAGCTCATTGAGCCGGGCCGAGTTATTGGGGGGCACCGCGCCCATGGCGCGATGCGGGTACATGGACATGGTTGCGGTTGGAGTCGACAAGAGACAAGATCGGAACCAAACAATTCGCGCCGGTGGGGTACGTGGTGTTGAGAGAGATGAAGTGACGGTGTTTATCAGGGGAAATATAACCGTGGGAAGCTGCAAATCGAGTGTCGATGATGGAAAAGATGCGTCGGGTTTGGTCTTGAGGTTGTCGTGGCTCGGAAAATTTAGCTGTTGCGGCTATGGGCCCCCCTTCAATCGGCTGGATGCACTGAGGCACAAGGCGCGATTTGCCTTAGGTAAGGTCTAGGGTGGTTGCGTTGACAGCGGCAGAGCCGTCCAGTCAGGAAAACGCAGATGGGTGCTGCGCGACGCGGATGGAATTCGGTTGGCGTAAGGAGATGATGAGATGGGAAGGCGTTGTGCTCGCGATTGATGATGTTATGTGCGCGGCGCGCTTGTCGAGTCTGTCACGGCGGAGATGGGGGAAAAGAGAGGAAGGGGAAGAAAAGTTCGGGTTAGGCAAGGCAGGTGGAAGGAGAGAAAGAGACCCGTCCAGAAGAGGCTGGCGAGTGGAACGAGAGGAGACGGCGCAAGGTGTAAAGTGCACAGGCGAAAAAAGAAGACGGATGGGAGCCGCCTGGGGATTTGATCCAAAGGTGGGTACCCCATCAGAGGTGAACTGCTCTGTGCCGCCCCCCCTGGATCCAGGTGCACGCCAAGCTAAGGTGGACGACCGGGAGGTAGCTGGGTCAGTTGCGATACATGCTCAGGATACAGCGGTACGGCACTAGGGGACCGCAAGCGAGCGTTGACGGGTATGGAGTAGGCATTACGGGCGACAGTCATGTAGCGTCAGGTATCGACCGGGACATCGCTACAGAGATGGAGTCCAGGTCTGTGCGTTTCTATGTTTTTTGTAGTATCTTTTTATTTTCTGGCGAGCTGGCTCCAAAGGTGGGTCCCTCTCCATGTGGCGCCTGCTCCCAGCGGGTGTGGGTGGTTTCAATCTGCCCAGGCTTGGGACTTGGTACGTGGGTACCTAGGCGGCGGCGACTGAATCGGTTCAGTAGGGCAGGGGGACCTTAGTGTTGACGCTAGCTCTCGGAGCGGGGGCGTGTTAATAGTGGGGCGATGGGGTATAGGTGCAGCCCGCACTCCGTACCTCGTGCGTACCTACCTCAGTCTCGCAAACCTTCAGGTCCCGTTCTCACCAGCCTCGATGTTGCTCCCGCCTTCTTGACTGGTTACCTGCATCGCCCAACCTGGCAGGTAAGCAACAACTTGATATAAATCCCCGAGTTGGTTCATTTCACAATCTTGGTGTGGCATTTCCTGCCTCTGCTTCCATTGGCTCGCAGATGCTTACACTGATGTTATATCCGTGGAAGACCTGCTACTCAGTAAGGTACATTCGGTCAATTTCGCGCTTGGTGAATTTCTTGCTTATCTACCTGGCGTACCATGCGATTGCCTACGTTACCGATGAAGCCTGATTTCTACTACAGCTAAGAGTCCACAGCATCGCCAGAGTCAACTGCGGTGGTCTGACAAGAAGTCGAGCCCCGTGTGATTGAGCGGGACGAACGATATCATCATGGTAGTCCTGGACGTGAATATATCGTAATGTTTACTAAACACCACAGTCGACAGGCTTGATATATCTAGCTGGTTGATTACAGAATCCGAAGCGTCGCTTTCTAGCATGGGCATCGGAAACTTTACTCTGTTCCACAAGTGAAGAAGCATTTTGGATCGTGACAGGAGTACGAAGCAGATTCTGTCCGGCAAGGAGAACCCGCTCGACCGTTTTCCCAAACATCGGCAGAGCTCCGTGCAAGCTCGCGGCCCCAAAACCTTCGGACTGCAAGTGCTGTTTATTCGCACGTACGCCGCTGCGGACGGATGTCGCAACCCTGGCGGCAACCAACAAAAAACACGTCCATTCATAGCCACGTACTACAGCGAGTGTATTTGTTACCGGCACGCTCTTGAATTGATGTGACATCGAGACAAGAGATGTTGTGCGGAAATGGGGGTTCGCCTGCATGTAATTATTATGGGCGGTAGCCGCCAGAAGGAAGGCCAACTCTAGGAGGATCATCAGAAGTAACAGGGTGGATTTGGGGGGGGGGGGGGGGAAAAGGGGGGGGGGGGGGAGGGGGGGGAGGGGGGGGGGTTGGTGTTTATTTTGGGGGGGGGGGGCGGAAGGGAGGAGGGGCTGCGGGAGGGGAGAGGAGAGGGGGGGGGGGGGGGGGGGGGGGGGGGGGGGTAAAAGTGCGGGCAGGCAAGCAGGTGGCTAAGGTGTGACGGTAGGGTTGGGTATTGCAGAAGAAGGCAGTTTGGGGAGTTATCGTGAGATGCAGCGCTGCCGCAAGGAGATGCGCAACACGGAGATGCGGCCGACGAGGTGGCACCCACAACTGGCATGGCAGTGAGGCACCCACCAAAGCACCAGAGCACAAGCATCCAAGCACCCACTGGGCCAGGGCAAGCCGCACGGGGGGAGGGGTGGAAGAGGTGTGGATAACGCGTGCGTGGTACAGGGTTTGAGGGGGTGAAGCTGTGAACTGTGGATGGGTGGGCCATGGGTTGTGGTTGCGGGTGCGGGTGCAGATGCAGAATGTTCCATTGGAAGACGT